TGTGGTAATCATGATTCCCCATTAGGTGGCCTTGGAGCCTTATAAAGTTTTCACTCATTAATTAGAAAGGCTTTATTCTGGGCTTCTTGATTTGAAAATATTTGAAGCTAGAGTATATGAAGTTTTATCCAAATATTTCAAGGAAAAAGACACTATGGTAACTACTATTAAGTCAGGTTATATGGTGTTGAAGTACTAGGTTGTTGAAACAGTCATGCTGTGACCTCTATTGTTATATTGTTATGTCCTGTTTTATCTCAATCTCCCCCTTATTGTTTTAAAAAAATTAGTCATTTCTTATGTTTGTCTTAATTAAAGAAAAAATTCAAATAATTAGGATATATAAATAATAACTCTTTTTGATTTCCTATTAACTTGTTTTGAAGTCCTGTAGTACTCCCACGATCTTGTTTTGACTGATTAGACTCTGTTCCATTCTATATGGTAGTATCAAGTTTGAAGACATAGGCAACTACTTTGAAGACAATAAGATTCACTAAGATACCCATTCTGGTTTGACTATTGTCTTCTTTGGAAGTCCTGTAATGTTTACAATGCCTAAGTTGTATTGGTCTTGTTCTCTACTGTTTTGTCCAACTTTATAATATCTAATGAGATAGACAATTCTTTTTAAGGAAACAAGGGACAACGTTGATAACCATAGTTGATAAACTTGTACTGTGTTCTACACCATGTGCTATGTCTATCCTTGGTATTGACTGACAGCTTTGTTTTGCCATATTTGACTGTATTCTCCCCCCCCCCCTCCCCAAAAGTAATAAGCACTAAGGAGTAATGAAATCCAAAGTGTGTGAATTTTGTTGTAAAAAAGAGAGGGGAAGAAAAAAAAAAAGAGCTCTAACGGATATAACAGCAAGTGTGTTTAGCGGTGTTAAATAGCTGACTGTATCAATGTTTGTGGATCATTGAACACAGCTGTTTGCAGTCTACCTGTTTGAATGTCCACCTTGTATTCTTTGATGCTGTGATTTGAGGAACTATTTTCAAGATGATAATATGTAATATACTAACAGGTGATTTCTTACTGTTTTGTTTTTTTTTTTTTGTTTGTTTGTTTGCTTTGTTTTTGTTTTGTTTTGTTTTGTTTTGTTTTGTTTTGTTTTGTAGTTCTGTATTACGTGTACCCTTACACCGCTTTGGTTTGTTTTGTGTTTTTCTCTTTTTCCTCTTAAATAAAAAAAAAAAAACAAAGAATCATGGCAGACTTCTCACCACAAACCATGAAATCAAGAAGAGCTTGGAGTGAAGTATTCCAAGCCCTGAAAGAAAATAACCTCCAACCCAGATTGCTGTACCCTACAAAACTGTCTCTCAAAATTAATGGAGAAACAAGATGTTTCCATGACAAAAAGGAACTGTGGGATTACGTGACCACCAACCCAACCCTACAAAAAATACAGAAGGACATTCTAGAGAGAGAGAGAAAAAATCACCAGGATTCCAGGAACAGCAGCAGAGAGGCCTCAATGAACAGGGCAGACAGTGGAATGAAGGAGAAAAGTAGACAACCAACAGCAGAAAAATAGCATCTTCAGAGATGAGGCAGAGAAGACTGGCTGTAATCTCTAACACAGATGGCCTTGATACACTAACAGTAAAAAACACAGGCACAGTAGATCAGGAGATAGGGTCCATTGAGATACTCTGAATGGGAAATATAATCAACCTGAAAATGGGTTAATGAACCGAAAGTCAAAGATGAGAAAACAATGCTCTATGTGACAGGGAACCTGAGAGAAATAGGGACAGCTGGTCCAGCAGCTGAAGTTAGGTTGGAAAGTCATGACACTTCTGTGCAGTGGAGAATTACTCAGCTTTAATGATGGAAAACCTTGAGGCTTTAGTAGGTAAGGGAATACAGCTCAAGATCAAGCTCAGGGGTAAAAAGGTTCAGAACCACTGAGGTAGATAGCGGGTTGCCCCCCTAATCTAAAAACTAAAGGAATTAGTGGGACCCAAAATGTACAAAGCACCCTGTGAAAGTGAAAGGGGAAGAACTGTCTAAAAAAGGAAGGCAGAGGACATTGTTTGTAATCTATCAGGATTTAAAATCCACATTATGCTTATCACTCTGTTTAGTTTGATTTTATTCTGCTGGGCCTGGCATTAAGCTCAGGGATCAGCCTGAAGCCATAATGTGGGAGATTCTCTCCAGGGGTTTCATGGTGACTGACAGTAGCACGAGTCTAGTGAATGATCTAAGACAGTGAGAAGGGCACAAAGTTTAGAAAGCTAAATCAACTTCTTGTCCTTGGTGTTTAATGGCCCTCTTCCCACTGTAGGTGGTAGAAGAGGACCCCGTGGGCTTTAACAGATTTGGATAGCAATTTCAGACATTAAATTATTTCTCTGGGGAATTTTTCATTTCTGCCCTTGGATCTAAGTCCAATTACTGAAAGAAATAATTCTCTAGGAGAACCATGGCATCTTAGACCAAGCCCTAAAGACTTTTTGGGTCACATCTGAATCAAAGATAGTTCCTAAAGCCAGTTTGCAACTAGCTGCTCTCTGATGAGGAGCCCCATGAGCCTGGTTGGGAGGACAGACCTCATCAGAGGGGAAGTTGGGGGCATCCCTATTGTAAAATGAGGAATGATAGCAACTTCCACGAAGTGACACATCACTTTAGTAATGTTAGAAGTCCTTATTCCTAGTTGCTTCTGGGAATGAGGCAAAGTAGGCAGGAGCCTAAGTGGGCATGTAAAATCTTTCTGTCTTTTCCTTGGACCGCAGGAATCACAACCAGGGTTTTATTTAATTCTCCCAGATCAGGCCAGACTAACTAAAATGACTATGGTGGGTGCATCTCACCAGGCTACAGGATCTGTTTGTGATGATGGTGTCATGGGGACACAACTGAATGACACAAGTAGCAAACACTTGAAATAGTGCTTGTCAGTCCAGTGTCCTTATCAGGAGGTGGTGGGGAACTATGAAGGGATGTAAGTCCCATATGGGGAGCAGGATGGAGTCAGAAGTCAGATGGGTGGAACTAGCCTGGAGTTTTGGATCTTGCAGTTCTGTCCCTCTGCCTCTGACCCCTGGGCTGAGTCAGCATAGAGAGAGGACATACTGGACCATATCCTGTGGCCTATGCTACCCACTGGCTCTATGGAAGGAGGGAGCCCCAGTGCTGGGCACAGCGGAGGCTCAGTCCCAGCAGGGGACATTGCCTCATGACAGAGCCTTAATGGGCCAGCTGCTGGGACTGATTTCTGTGACCTTTTATTTTGTTCAAGAGGGTGGATCTAGCCCCAGGTGTTAGTGAGAGGTAGCTGGATCATCAACCATGAACTTGGGGGAAAGGATGCAGCAATCTATGTAGTACAGAAGCTGAAGTGACCAGAAGATTTGGACAGAGAAAGAGCTGAGAGAGAGCCAGAAATGCCCATGGCAGGGAGCAGTGCAGTTTCAGTGACATCACAATCCCCAGAGACCAAGAGACTCATAGCTGCCTCTGAACCAATCAGAGCACTTCTGCAAGGCTTCCCACAGCCCAGCAGTTCCAGCATCATTATGTGAGGTGGCTCCTGGGGTGGCCTCAGGAGCAGGTGACCAGAGGAAGAGAAAAAATATCTCAGCCTGTGAACAGGACAGGAAGCTACTGTGGCTAGAACCTTTCAGGATGCTGTGTGCAAATCCCAGTCTCTAAAAGCATCTAGGTCATTCATTCATTCAGCGTTAATTTTTCCCCTCATTCATCACAAAACTATTAACTTGGCTGTGAATCCTAGACATGTTGATTTTATGACCCAGTGCAGAGAAAGAGAGCAAAGCCATCTCTTTTATACTCCAGGGGAATGATCCTCAACACATCAGGAAGATAGGACTCTCTAAGTTTAGTGAGGGTGGCTGTGGGTTGGTCTTCTGAGCACAGAGCGCTAAACATTGCATTGAAGCAGGTGACTTAATTCTAGAGTAAAAATTGATTAACTGTATATTTGATCTCATTAGTCTAACCAGACTCGCTCTGGGTTGGAGATGATTCACTTTAAATAACATGAATCAATAGCTGGAGTTGGATTCACAGACATCTAATAAATCTTCCATAGTGGAGATCACATGTCTGTGTTTTCATGTAGATAGATAATGCCACTAAGCTGCTATCCATGGTGTGTGTGAGCCTGGTCTGGAAACTGTATTTTGTTGTGCCTTCATTTCCCTGTTATAGGATACACAGGAAATGGTATCTGGTTTGCTGTGCCGTGGATAAATTAATCTGAAATACGTTTATCTGTCATTGGCATACAGTAGTTGCCCATTTAGGCATGTATTACTTGTAGAATGAATTCAAACAGTTTCAAGTGAACAGGGAAATTCCAGGAGTCTCATTCTCTGTCGTTCCCCTTAGAAATACTGAGCTTCCTGTGGATTCTCATGAGTCAGTCAAATTAGTTAAAAGGCTTCAGGCACCTGCGTACCTGTGCTATCTATGCCAAGTCTTAGAGAAAGGAAGGCCCAGGTGCCCTTACCCATATGTGGTTCTTGTGTTTGTGCACTTTCTGCTCTAGAGACCAGCTGTAGAGAAGTATGATTCAGACAGCCACTGAATTACTGCCTGCCATCATTCCTAAACAGTGGGTCACACTAACTCTGAGCCCAAGTTCCTGGGATCACTGAAGTGAGCGTCTTGGGACAGAGGTCTGAAGCATGGGATTGAAATGTCCTTCAGGTTAAACCCTGCATGAGATCCTCAGGGTCACATAAATGGGAAGTGATTTTGAGGATGGATTGAGAGGCTCCCCCTGGGTCAAGTTACTCTACCTAACTCTCTTTGTTTTGCAAGATGAATTCAAGTAAAGGATTGCAGCCTACTGAAGGTCATCTCCATTGTATGCGTCCTGCACTAATGGGCTCAAAGCCTGGCATGGGGATGTAGTGTGGCAGGGTGGAGTCACCATCCAAGACTGACAGTTTTCTGTGTGTATGAAGTGAAATTAACCCCATAGCACACCCCCAGGTCAGTGAGAGCAACTCACAGTATACACGGAACTCTCCGGATAACTCTTGAGTTACACCATTATCCAATATGAGTTGTATGGTGTAGAATGTTGGGTCATCTTGGGTGACATTCTGGATCAGCAGGGATCCATTGGGGTATATTGTCTCTCGACCGCTGTATGCATCCCCAGTAGTAGACTCATTAGTGGCTCTGGAATATGCTACAATCATCTTGTTCAGAGTACTTGTTACCCCACTGTACCACTTATAGCCAGAAGGTTGCACTGTCACATTGTAGAGTCGTAGAAGAACATTTCCCCCTTCAAGAACATTGTAAGGCACTGATTCAATAGCTGGTTGGGCGGTGGTAGATGGGCTCCAGAAGGTCAAAAGTGAGGCTAGAAGAGAAAGACAGAGAGAAATTCATCAAAGTGGAAACTGTTGGATGGAAAGATGGAGCCCTGAGTCCTGAGATGTTTTCATTGTTTAGTTTGACTGTTGCAGGCATGCGTGTCTCTTACTAAGCTATGGTCAGCAGGGGACTTCGCTCCTTCCTTGCCCTTGAACTTGTCATTCCTATGTTTGGAACACTCTCCCCCAGGGGTTTGCATGGCTCACTGATCACTGCCCTCAGGTTCTGCTCATATTCAAGGCAGCTTGGAGAGACGCCTTCCCTCATCTCTCTTATAAGAGATCTGGTTCTTTGATTTTTCACCTTTTCGTGCTTTCTTTCCTCTGTGGTTCTTGTCAGCATCTGACTTCCCCTCTTAAATGTCCCTTTTTGATCAGTTTTCCTCCTTTTAGGACAAAAGCTCAGTGAGTCCAGGAAGCTGTCTGATTTTGCTGGGGCCCAGGGTCAGGAACAACCTCAGATACCGTAGAAGAATGAGCGATGGCTCTGAGAGCCCTGTGTGCCCAGGGGTTTGTTTGCAGTTTCTGGGGGCATGGGTGAGCACAATGCTTCGTACCCCAGGTGTGATTTTATTGCAGTCACCTTGACTCTGTTGTTGACATCAATATTTAAAATATATTAGCCTGACAGGTTCTGTGGCAGATGTCCTTCATCCTAGCACTTCGCTGCGAGTTCAAGTCCAGCTTGGGCTACATGGACAATTCAAAGGCAGCCTGAGCTGCATAGTGAGACTCTGCTCCAGGAAAAAAAGAAGTGTTGTGGCCAATGACAATTGACTTATAATGGGGAAAAATGGAGCTTTTCCTCTTCCTTTTTTAGTACTCATGCACTGCGAGTTTCCTGTTCCTCAGCCTTCTGATCCTCTTTTGTGTCCCCTCTGTCATCTCAGACTCCTGTCCTTCTCAGCAGACCCAGTGAGTGTTTAGGGGTTCACCCTCTGGTATAGCCTCCCAGGGACTGTCCCCTCTCACCTGTAAGCAGGAGCCCCTGCCAGGGAACAAACCCTCTGTGGAAAGTGGCTGTGCGGGACTCCATGGTTTCTGCTGTCCTCCGTCTGTGGAGAAGAGCTTTGACTCAACACAGGCTCCCAAGCAAGCTGCTCAAGAGGATCAGCTGTGCTGTGCTGTCTCCCTCTGATCTGAGCCTCCTCCCAGGGAAAGGGCGGGCTTCAGAGTCATGTGACATGGGGGTGGACTCTGTGTCTAGGAAGCCTGTCTCTCTCCTTCCCTCTGGGTCCTGCCTTCCCTGTTGTATTCCCTATTTTCTGTATGAAATTTCAATATCACAGACCACACTTTGAGTCCAAGAGTCTAGCGGACTCTGTTAACCAAGACAAGAACTGTTTCAACTCCTTACTGGCCTTTGCACTGTCCTGACTTTAAGGATGTCTACTGCCTAGCGATTCCCTGGTGTATCCAAATCCAGAGCTGTGTTTTCCTATGGTACATAGAAATCCAGCTGGGCATCAGTACTTCCCTTGGTTTTTGTGCATTCTGGGAAGGTAGAATGTACTGCTAAGAGAGAGATGACAGAGATATCTCTAGCGGATAGAAAGGGGCCAGCTGAGTGATGAGGGGGACTTACCCTGTGTCTTTGGTTTCACCAGCTGGCCTCTGATCAGATGTTTCAGGAGGAGCTGAAGTTCTGGGTGGGCAGGGATGGAAATGACCCACATGTCCTGTGGAGGAAGGAGTGTGGTGGTGGGGCAGGTAAGTGGCTGTGGGCAACATTAGCTTGGTGGCAGATTCCTGGGACAGCGCCTCTCTATACAACTCTGGGCTCAGGTGTGACCCATATACTCCCTGGGTGAGTTGCTAGCTCTCTGTCCTCTGCCTTGCCGAGTCACTTGTGCTCATACTTTCTCTGACCCCAAGGGTGCTGTGAGGAATGAGGGGCCATGCTGAGACTCTTGACATAAATGGGTCCTCAGAGATCCAGGAAGGAGTGATTAGGACAAAGCATACATATGGGAGGGACCCAGAAGTGCTGTTGGGGCCAGGGATGGCAATCGCCCTACATCTGCTCCCAAACCGAAGCTAAATTCACTTTTCAGAAACTATTTTCCTAAGTGTGGACTGTGTATACTGATGTTGCCCCCTAGCGGCCATGAGGAGACTCGTGGCCAGTGTCAGGGAGGCTGACCATGCTCCACCTGGCTCTCACTGGATGTTTAAAGACTCCTCTTCCACTATTAAGCTATTTTGATACACTTGTCAGAGATCATATGAGAAATTGTCAGGGATTTTTCTCACAGATCATTTGTGAATCTTTATGCAGCTCCCATGTCATTTTATTACTGTAGCACTGCAGTAAGTTCTCAAAGAGGAAATGGTGAATAGCTAATGTTGTTTTCCATATAAGAGTCATAGATGCCCCTGAGTTGCATTTTTGTTGAAATCCAAAGAAAGATCGATTGATTCCTAAAATAGTGAGGTCATCGTATGTGTCTGGTCTGGAACTCCTGGGGTCAGGTAATTGCTCCCCGCCCCATCAGGCTGCTGGGCATCAGTGAGTCTGAGCCAGGCTGGGTTTTGCCCTCCAGGGCTATTTGGCAGTGTCTGGAGACAGCTGTGAGTGTCACACCTGAGGGAGGGAGTGCTCCTGGCACTTATTGGGCAGAATCCCCTGATATTGCTAAACACCCCACAAGGCACAGGTAACCCCACAAGTTTGAGCAGTCCCAAATGTCAGTGGAAATTGAATCCTGCCCAGCACTCTTCCCCTGCCTACCTAGATCCTCTCTTCACCCTGCTTCTTACCATTCTTTCGTTAGCCCAGGTACCCAGGCATCCTCCCCCTCATTTCACTTTCATCCGCTGCATCTGCCCTTTGTCCAAGTTCAGCTTCTCCTCTCCCCTCCCCTGGCCCATGTACCTCTTGAAGGAAGCATCCACTAGAGGGCTCAATGCTCTGTCCTAAGCTCCTGTGACCCTGGCCTGCCCAGAGACAAAGGCAGCTGCCCCGCCCCATTCCTCACAAAGGCTCCAGGGTGAAGCCTCTAAGTCAGTTGCCAGGAACCCACGGAGGATGCTCCCTGGTGCAGGTGGTGAAATGGACTTGTGGCACCGGACCAATGCCAGGGTCTGCACTGCTGTGGGAATGTAGGCTCTTGACACACTGGTGTGTCTGCCAGGGCCCAGAAGTCCTCTTGTGACCACTAGGAACAAGATTGTGGATTTCTGTCTTTAAAGGATTTTTCACTACTATCTGTGTCTGTGGGCTGGCAGGGGTGCTGTGGACTGGTGCAGACTGGACCTTTTGTGGGTTCCTCCATGAACGGGTCCTCTGTCCCCTGGAAGAATCAGCAGTGATGGGGCAGTCACTGTGGCAGGTCTCCTCATGGCCTCTGGGGCAACTCTGCAGCACATGGTCCACACTCAGGAAAGGACTTCCCTGAATGTGAGCTTGGCTTGCACTCAGGAGGTGGAGATGCAGCCTGATTTCCATCCCTTGCCCTAGAAATGCTGGCAGGGAGGGACCTCTCATGTCTTGCCCACTCCTTCCTGCGTGTCTGAGTTTTCAGCGGTGTTCATGCAGCCTGCACACTTCTGCAATGACCTATAGGGTAAGAGGGTGGAGTGACCACAGCAGAGTCAGAGAGGCTGCGGGGGGGAGGCCACCCAGGGAGGAAACAGGCAGGTATAACCTATAGTTCAGTCCATCCACATAGAGATTGAAGGTGTCCCTGAAACCTTACCCCACAGATGGCATTGCCTGCCTGTTTCTAAATCCTTGGACCTGAAGGGTCCATATTGTAAGTATAGATTAGTAGTTGAGTATTTGAGGAGGATGCGTTTTTATTTATTTTGTTTCTTGTTTGTCCTTTTGAGTCAGCATTTCTCTACGCAGTTCAGGCTGGCCAGGGGCCTGCAGTGATCCTCGTGCCTCAGCCTCCTAAGTGGGGGGCTGATGGGGTGCACCACCTCATCTTGCCACCTTGTATATGTTTTTGTACATCTTTATCAAATATTTTTATTGGGTAGTAATGGAGCTTGAACCCAGAGCTTTTGCACTGAGTTACATCCCCAGCCTATTCTCAATTTTGAGACATGGTTGCCTCATATTTCTTAGGCTCAGCTCAAAGTTGAGGTCCTCTTGTCCGGGCCTTTTACATGGCTGGGATAACAGGTGTGTGTTACCCAGCCCTGCAGAAACTTTGAAAAATCATTGGCAGTGATAGATAACAAGTGTGTGCTGTCTTAAACATTTTAAGAATATAAATAAATGCCCCGAATTAAATTCATATTTATAATAATTGGTCCAATACCCAGAATTTCTCATACTCAAACTAGAAGTCTAGCCATTAATGAGTAACTCCTTATCCCTTCTCACGCAGCCTCTGGTAGCCTCTGAGCTACTGAATTTGCCTCTGGGAATCGTCCTATTCCAGGTATTTCGTGTAAATTAAACTACACAAACAGGTGCCATTGTGCTTCCTGTTTCTTTTCGGGTTTCTCCATGTTGGAGCTGGCATCAGAACTTTGTTCTTCATGGCTAACATTCTAGTGCATTTATGTGCCACATTTATTTAGGTATTCATCCATTTACGGGCACTCAGAGTGTTTCCTCAAGTTGCCTGTGGTGAAGGCTGCTGCAGGCCGTGTTACCATGCAGGAAACTATGTGACTCCATTTCATTCTCCCAGCACACACCTGCTGGGCGTACTGGCCATGTGACCGAACAGTTGGAGTCTGTTTTCTACAGTGGCTGCTGCTTTCCCTTTTCCTTAAGGAATGTGTGAGTCTTCCAGTTTCTGTGAAGTTTCCCCAAACTCCTTATTTAACTTGCTGTTAAACAGTTACAGTAGCGAATAGTAGGTACCAGGTGATTTCCATTTGTATTCCCATAATGAGTCATTATATCGAGCATCTTTTATTTTATTTTTATTTTGAAAAGAATAAAACCAAATGAGAAAAAACCCAAAATGGAGTCATTCAAGACAATAACACGGACATAAGTACATGAATTAAAACTACAATACAAGGTGATCTACAATGGTTACCATGATGTCTTTGTGTTATCTTCAATAGAACTGCATGTATCATCAGGCACAATAAAATTGAACATAGCAGTACAGAACAAAATCAATAAAAAGAAAACATTGGAGACATTATAGGACTTCAAAAGAGGTTCGTAAACCACAATGAGTATCATAGTGAATCTTATTGTCTTCAGAGTAGTTGCCTACACTCTCAGACTTCATACTATCAAAGAGATTCGAATAAAATCACTCAGGACAAGAGAGCGATCGAACAAAATAGATTAAAATAAAATCAGTCAAAACAAGACAGTGAAAGCAATACAGGGCTTCAAATTAAACTAATAGGAAATAAAAAATGGTTGCCATGGTATATCCTGCTATCTTTGGAATAGCTGTCCATGCCATCAAATTTAGTACAAGTATGTGGGGGATGAGGTGTCACTTTGAAGGCCCTAGCCCCCTAGGACCTGCAGTAAACAATAGCCCCCGGTATGCGAGACAGAGGCGGGACAGGAATGCCTGTTCTCAGTGAAGTTCTTCTCACCCTCTGAAAACCATGCTGTGTGACCTGGCTTTGTTTACAGAGTCATGAGGAAGTGGCCCACCACCTTTTGTGACACTAGCAACAAACATAATTAACAACATTCTTGGGCTAATGAATTTCCTCCTGGGCTAGAAGAGTTAGAAAAACTGATTGTGCTTGTTTACTTCACTTAGATAGTTTAGAATAAACATTGTAGTCTGTCACATTGTAGCTTGTCACAAAGAATGCTTTTTCACTACTTAATTGTCTGTGCTCTGTGAATTGATCCGGTTTACTATATAAGAATCCTAAAATAAAGATTGTGTGTGCAGTGCAGTGCAGGCAGTAGCAATTGCCGTCTCTTCTGTTTCTTTTCTTAGCGCTGCACCCCTCGTGTCCCGATTTGGTGTGTTTGTGTGCCTTTTCCCGGAGTTCAGAGTGCTCTAGACACTCCCGACACAAGTAGACAAACTGGAACAGAATATAACCAAACAGAGTGATAAAAACAATATGAGTTTCAAATCATGATACAAGATTACCAATGTCCACTGCCTTCCCTTTCAAACAATTCCTCCCCTGTCACTTTCGCAGAGTACATTATACATTTTGTATCCCACTAATTCCTTTAGTTTTTAGATTATGGATGCCTCCTGCTATTTAAGTGGTTTTGAACCTTTTTACCCCTGAACTTGATCTCAAGTTGTATCCATTTACCTACAAGAGCCTCCAGGGTTTCCTTCCTTATAGCTGAGTAGCTTTCCATTGTATAAAAGTGTTATGTCTTTCTAACCATTTTGCAGCAGATGGTTGAGCTACCCCTACTTTTTACTGGTGTCCTGTCAATAAAGCATTATTTTCTCATTTTTGACTTTCAATCTATGAAACCTCTTTCAAGTTAATTACAATTCTTATTTAAAACATCTTGTTGGACCCGATCTCCTGACCCACTCTGCGTTTGTTTCTTTTTATTAGTGTGTCGAGGCCATCTATACTAGTGATTATGGCCAACCTTCTCTGCCTCCACTCTGCCATGCTATTTTGCTCCAATGGTTGTCTACTTTTCCCCTTCATTCCACTGTCTGCCCCATTCAGTGAGTCCCCTCTGCCACTGTTCCTGAAACCATGGTCCTTTTCTCTCTCTAGGATGTACTTACTAGTTTTTACAGGGTTGGATTAGTGGTCATGAACTCCCCTAGTTCCTCTTAGTCATAGAAGCATCTTGTTTCTCCTTTAATTTTTATAGACAGTATTTCAGGGTACGTCATTCTGGTTTGGAGGTTATTTTATTTCAGGGCTTGGAATTCTTCACTCCAAGCTCCTCTTGATTTGATGGTTTGTATCGAGAAATCTGTTGTGATCCTTTATAGGTGATCTGTGTCTTTTTTCTGATAGCTTTTAATATTCTGTTCTTGTGTTGAATTTCTGGGATCTAGGTTATTGTACGTCTGGATGTAGATCTATTTTGGTTATAGATGACTGGTATTCTGTATGCCTCATATATCTGCATATCACTTGCTTTTTTACATATCTTTGACTAGATGGGATATTAGTCATGTAGAAAAAGAAGAGCACATGGTGTATAATACAATAGGTATAGACTTTCATGACCATCACTAACCTGAAGCTTCTGAAGGGATGTAGGACAACTTCCCACTAAAATACCTATAAATACCCATTTGAAGATCTAAATATAATTTATGGTATTATACTATTAACAGTAAGTTTTTAAAAAGCCTTATTAGGTATGGGCACATGTGTAATGACAATTTTTTTTTATTTAAAGAGAAAGACAAAACTAAACGAAGCAAGACAGTAAAAGGCTAGAAGCAACACAGAATTTCAAGAGAAAAAACATACAGTAAGAGTTCACCAGTTAATAGATCACACATTGTCAACTTACAAACAGCTGTCCAAATTACAAAATTAAAGCATAAAAAGTGGAGATTAATACAGTGAGATTGCAGTCAGTTCTGTTCAATGATCCAAGAAAAACTCAGCAATATGGTTCTCTTTCCTACACATTTAAATAAACTTGCAGTTATATCCTTTAGATCACTTTCCTCTCTTTTTTATACTAACAATCGTGCATTTTAGTTTCCATTACTTCCACAGTTTTTAAAAAACTTTTTCTTTGAAGAGAAAAGAAAAAAGATTGAAAAAAAGGCCAAAAAACAAAACAAGATGGACCAAAGAAAAACCCAATGTGACAAAGCAAAACAGAGTCCTTTAGATCAGGAAGATGGACATAGCATAAAATGAAAAAAAAAATAAAAAAAATAAAGGGGGGGGGATTACTAGATGATCAACAATGGTTACCATTATGCCTCTTGTTATCCTAAAAAGAGTAGCGTATATCAGCTAGTATAAAAGAATTGAATAAAACTGTACAT